TTGAATAGTCAATGGATATTATAGTGAGAATAGCGAGAATTACGAGTTTAGATCCTTAGGAGCGGTGTGTGCGCTTAGCCACGCAGCTTAGGGTTCATACGTAGTGGCAGCAAAGGGTCGCTGTGCACTACATTTGGGGGCCGTTCCCGGAAAAAATCTAAAATAGAATGAGAAAGTTATTGAGTTTGACTTAAAGGGGAAGAAAATCCTTTTTTTTCTCTCACAAAACCCGAAGTGACCTTCACACCTAAGTGAACCACGGGGATGGACATGCATCTACGCGACGGAAAAGTGGTACAACCTGCACTAGAATCGAACGCAGGATTGCCGAATATAGTTGTATCTAGTGAGGAAACCGCGGGGCATCCTATTGAATCGAAGTGAACAGAACCCGGTCGCGAAATCAGCTAACCCACCGCAGGGGTAGCCCGGCCGATACCGAGAAACCCGAACCGCGACGCTGGGGGACGCTAGGAACCTGAAGCGAATCAAGCCTGGATGGAACAGGGAATGGCCGAGTTATTTAGGCAATTTGCCACTCAGATGGCACTGGGGTTAGGACATGCGCGCCAGATGGCCATAGGGTACGAGGACGGCAAGAACATGAGGAACTTTCTCGATCTTGTGGAGATAGATTTCGTTGAACGGGGGCTGGAAGCTCGGCAGTGGGGAGAAGAACTAAAACGATATCTGACGGGCGACGCCTTGGATTACTGGTTGTACTTGCGTGATACGGGAGTATCACTGACTGATTGGGAACATCTGAGACAGCAATTATGTGCCCGATTCTGTACCATAACAAAGGAAAGGATGAAATTGATGATAGCAGAGAATGTGTGGCGAGGTGATCACAACGCATACTCTGCTCGTTTTGCGGCCATCGTGGTCCAAGGGGTATCGATAGCACCAGACCTGTTGCTGGGTTACTATTTGGCCAACCTACCGCTTGAAATATACCGAGAGATAACTCGAGGTGGAACGAGGAAATTTGCGGACTGGCAGGAAGCAGCCGCAGCCCTGGCTACTACGGAGGCACCATGGAGGGATTCATTGGAAGAGCGCCGCCGATTCCAGAGGGACTTAGAGGACGCCAAGTGTAGATGGGCTCACGGTGGACGAGAGCCGGGTCTACAGNGGCGAGCAAGGGAAACAGATGGAATGACACTACGGAATCACGCTGTTACGAGTGCAGAGGAAGGGGGCATATGAGCAGGGACTGTCCGCTCCGCAATGGAGTGGCGCGACGGAATGGGGAAACGTGCTCCAGATGTGGCGGACGGGATCACTACGCAAGAGACTGTCCCACGCCGGCTCGACCTAGAGCGGAGCCCGTCAGGCAGCCCAGACAGCAGCAAATGCGACCTCACGTTGACCAATCGGGGCATTTAAACGACCGACCATAGTCGTTAAGGGAGACGAACTTACTAGGCGGCCTATAAGGGGCAAAAGTGCAATGTGCACAGTAGCGTCAGGGCCTAACTCCATTCCAGTCTCCCCAGATTGGGGCAAGAAGTTGCTTGGTAGAGAGGTGCAGGTGAATGCTGAGGGTCAGGACATGGGAGAGAACCAGCAACCCTTAGCAGTACAGTCTCACGCCGGGACAACGTTGCTAATTGAGGAAGGACATACGCGTAAACGGGACCACAGCGGCGAACTACACAGCGATGCGGGGATGCGTGAGACGATAGGACACGCGGCACTGTCACCGGAGGTCGCAACTGCGCGCGACCCGCCGGCAGTCCCACTGGCAGATGGGGCTGGGTGCCAACGGGAGGCTTTCGTTGGCAACGGAGTTCCGAGAAGTCGTATTAGTCAGTCCGGAGACTGCCCTCAGCGTAGGGTGGCGGGACTGTCCGAAGGGGACTTCGCGCAAGAAACAAGCGTTGTGCTGC